ATTTATTCTCTTGAAAACATTTTATAGCAACTTCTAATGTTTTCAAATCACAACCTTTTTGTTAAGGACATGTTTTATGTGAATCAAAGAGATGCCTTATTTTAACTGAAGGCTCATCAGAATAATGAGAGAACTGCAGGTATTGATTTTAGAAATGGAAATTGCAGTGACTATTTATGTTCTTCTATAAAAAGGTAATTAATTTAACTAAGTAATCTATCTAGTAATTGAATCAGTAATTTACCAATACAGGGGGTTGTGCATGAGTTTTTTGTATTTAATAAGTTTTTTTTCTTGTTTTGCTTTAAAATGAACATCTGATAGAGCACCCAGCAATTTCTGCATATTTGTTTTTCCAGTATGTTATAATGTAGCTCATAGAAGCTGAACTTTTATTCAGACCATTAAAATGAAACCCAATTATAGGACTTATCAACAGGGTTCTATGGTATCTTTTTGGCCCTAAACTGTCAATTTTTGTTTTTCAGTTTTGTTTTGTTTTGTAGTTTCAAGTGGGATTTTATGACCCTCAACCCCACACTGCTCTCTGGGCACCACACAGTGGCAGCTCACTGCACCCAAGGAAATGGGTTAAATGCCGAGATACATTTCTCCGTTGAGATCAATAAAGTTCAATTATTATGTTATTGTTAAGTCTAAACAATATTAATTGGATAAGAAACATTATTGAATTTCATATAAAAAAATAAAAAAAAACTTTCTCAGTTGCTCAAAAATTGCAATCGCTTACAGTGCACAGAATCAGTTCAATTACCAAATTTAATACAGATGTTACAAAGCTTTTTTTTATGTAATCTACACTGGCTGAGAAAGAGAGAAATGTTTAGAAACATTCAAAAATATTAGATTAAGACCACTTTATTAATCCCACCAGAGATAACGCGTTTGAGCAGCACAGGTGACAAACAAAAATGAACATATTTTAAAAAATGATTTAAATAAAATATAACAGGGAGCTTGGTGATCAAAATTAATAATAATAAAAACACAAACAATGGTAAAGATAGCACAGTTTAAAAGAAACTAATTAATTACTTCAACATAATGATTATTAATTACATCAGGTGAGAAATAATCACAGACATTGCACTGATGCATCACAAGCTCTTTAGCCTAATGTAATGAAAACTCAATTTATTTTTCAGGTTAAACAAAACTAAAAGCTAGAGAATGCTAAAATCTGTCAAATGTATTTTGTTACACATGAAGTTTATTAATAGTAGACCATTTTTCTTCTCAGCTCTATTCTTTAAGGCATCATTTTGTGAATTCCTGCAGTGAAATCTATACTTAATTACCCTGTTCTGTTTTTCTTTTTAATGTACCGATCATTTCTTTAGAGCTTATTATTTGGTTTTGCCCAAGAAGGTCATCGCAAGAAAAAAATGTTTCTCTAAAATGTCTAGCCTCTTACAAATGTTCATTACTTGGAATATATTTCTTAATTTGTGTGACCCTCTTATGTCTTTTATTTCTCTTTAAGTCAAGTTTAATTTGTGAGGTTTCAATGGACTCAGATGCATCTCAGCAGAAAAAGGGAAATTTGCTTAATACTGTTTAAAAGTGAGATAAATTTAATATTTAATACACATATTTTATATTTGTTTCAACTCTGAATATTGTGAATAAAATGTAATGAAAACTTAAGTGGAATTTATAAGAAAATTAAAATATTAAAAAAGGCCCTAAAAAGGTTTACATTTGGACTTGGACGTCATGTTTATTTACATTTGGACTTGGACGTCATGTTTATTTTGAAATCTACATCATAATGAAAAGAATGATGACTTGACAGCTGACCAGCAGTCATTGACACTCCACAATGCGAGAAGCAGATAAAGATAATCACTTTTGCTGCATCAAAATATGAGATAAGTTAAATGGGGAGCCATCTAAAGAATGTCAATATATCTTCTGCTGTCACTGTTAATGGAGATGGTGTTTTCCGACAGTTGTCTGTGCACAAGGTGAAAGTGCCATGTTCTGGTTTAATGCCCAAGAAAACACTGTGCCTCACTGGCAAAAAAAACCCATCTGACCTAAACCCGATAGAGGTCAAAAAGAAGTCCAAAGATGCATACTAGTTGGATGCAGCCTACTGAGAACTGCCACTGGCTGGTGGACTTCAAGCATCTATGCACTGACTTTGTCGGCATTGACATATATTTTACATATATTTCAACTGGTTTAGATCTCCATCTCTACTTTATTTTATCTTAAATTTATTTTGATATTTTTTCAAGTAATATTACAGTTTT